CTTCAGCAGGCTGAGGCAGTATGATCCCTTGAGGCCAGGAGTTAAAGGCCTGCCTGGTTACATAGGGAGACCCCATCCCTACAAAAAATTTAAAATTAGCTGGGCATGGTGCCGTGTACCTGTAATCCCAGCTACTCGGAAGGCTGAGGTGGGAGGACCGCTTGAGCCCAGGAGTTTTAGGTTACAGTGAGCTATGATAGTGACTCTACACTCCAGCCTGAGACAGAGTGGGACCTTGTCTCTAAAAAAAAAAAGAAAAAAAAATCTTTAATGGAAGTTTTTTTTTCTCCCTATCTACTTCATCAAGGAATGAACATGAGCAGTAATCAGTGCCCTCAGCCTGCCTCACATAACCCCTCTTTTCTTTTTTTTTTTTTTGAGACGGAGTCTCGCTCTGTCACCCAGGCTGGAGTGCAGTGGCACAACCTTGGCTCACTGCAACCTCCACCTCCCGGGTTCAAGCGATTCTCCTGCCTCAGTCTCCCAAGTAGCTGGGACTACAAAAGAATTGCCTTGTGGCAAGGAATGTAGCAGAACAAAGCACAATACTGGGAGTCACTGAAACCACAACACATTGCTAGCGGAGACAACACGAAACACAAACAGTTACAGCTCGGCTCGGCGCACAGACTGGGCTCAGTGCCTATAACCCATCACTCTGGGAGGCTGAGGTGGGTGGATCATTCAAGGTCAGGAGTTCGAGACCACACTGGACAACTGGTGACAACCCGCCTCTCTACAAATACAAAATTAGCTGGGCATGCGGTGGCATGCACCTGTAGTCACCACAGCTACTTGGGGAGGTTGAGGCAGGAGAATCACTTGCACCGGGAGGGTGAGGTGCAGTAGACAGTGCACCACTGTACTCAAGCCTGGCAACAGAGAAGGCTGTCCTTAAATGATAAATAAATATATATATTTATATGATGGTAGACCAGCTCTGGAAAAATAGTCGTTTGTCAGTTTCTCACCAAAATTAAAACTGCAGTTACCATAGGCCCCAGCCAATGCATTCTTTTAGTGTATTTATTACCAGAGAAACTAAAACTTTTTGTTTACACACAAAACGCTGGTACACACAAGTGGTTATAGCAGCTTTTATTCAGAGTAGCCCACAATTGAACAAGCCCATCGTCTCTCGCAATATCGTGAATGATGTAAAGAAACCGTGTTAAAGGTATGGTGCTCTCCATGCTACTCACGCATAAAAAGGAATGAACTATTGATACACCAAACACCTAGATGCCACCTCGGTCAGTGATTAATGCAGAACTTGAAAAAAGCCAACATCAAAAGTTATCATACTTGGCCGGTGCGGTGGCTCATGCCTGTAATCCAGCACTTCGGGAGGCTGAGTGGGTGGATCACTTGAGGTCAGGAGTTGGAGACCCAGTCTGGCAACATGGTGAAACCCATCTCTACTAAAAATACAAAAATTAGCTGAGTGTAGTGGCGCATGCCTGTATCCCAGCTACTCGGGAGGCTGAGGCAGGAAGAATCTCTTGAACCTGGGAGGCGGAGGTTGCAGTGAGCCGGGATCGCGCCACCGCACTCCATCCAGCCTGGGCGACAGAGCAGACTCCATCTCAAAAGAAAAAGAAAAAAGTCACATACTTTATGATTCAATTTATCACATTCTTTCAGTAACATGAAAGATGGAGAAGAGGTATAGCTGCCA